GAGAGCGAGAGTGAGTGTGTAGAGAGAGCAAGGAGCTCCCAACCGGTGTGTTTGTGTGCAGAGGGCGAGGCGGGCGCGCGGGAGGCGCTGAAGCGCACGCGTAACACGCTGCTGAAAGACCTGGAGGGCGCCTCCGTCGCCGGCAGCGGCAGCGGCGCCGGCGCCGGCGCCCACGAAGGCTACGTCCCCCACGCCAGCGCGCCCCTCGCGCCCACCAGGAGAGAGGTTCGCATGTAGATGGTGGACCGGAAGCAAAATTAGAGTTGAACCCGTATGTAAATTGAAGTCCGACCCAGACTACAATGTACCCTTTCACATAAAATTGCAAGTGACACTTTACTTTCGAAGATCATTTTGAAAGCCATTCTTTTTACAACACATCTCCCTTCTCAATTTTCCACACTTGGGCCTGGCATATTTCTTTCGAAATATGGTTTGGTTAAAGTTGGTTTTCATTCAAATCAATCAGTCATTTCTTGAATGAATTCTGTTTATCTTGCCATTTGTATATTCCTTCCTCTTGCTACTAATATTCTATAACACCGAATATGAAATTTGGGCACTCTTCTAGTCGTGTCTTTGCTTTCCGTTTTGATATAGAAACGAGTCTGGATGAATTTCAATAGATCACAAGGAAAAACTGAATAATAGCGCGGCGGTGACAGTCTCCTAAACGCGTGCGTAAATGCTCAATCAGTCATTTTCCTTTCCTGGCTTGGTTATGTCCGCAATTTACATGTAAAATTAGAAAGTACGTTTCCAGAGAAAAGACGAAAGGATAATTTGGTTCGCAATTTACATACGACTTACAGAGGAGTCCAAAAATATGTACACACTCGATCAGCAATCCCACGCCATACATCTCCATCAGGGTCAATGACCCCCATCTCGACTAGGGTTTTATCCAGATTCGCTCCAGGGGATCAGGAACTCAAGAAAACGTGTGGAAATGATCTTCTGCCCCATACTACTGCCCCATATGCTCCATACATAACAGTTTTTACTTTTTTTGACGAAATGAATCAGAAGTCTAATTTAAATTCTTGCTGTTTAGCTGCTAATGAGGGTCACTTAATTATTTAACTACAAAGTCTTTGTCCCAGAATTATAATATTGGTTATTCACCAAAAAATAATTGCATTTTCTTACCGAAATAACCTATTGATTGTTAGAATGTTGTGAATGACGTTGGGGCTTAAGCGTGTGTATTCTGGTGGGCAGACATTCTATTTTGAAGTTGTTTTTCTTTATATATATATATAATATAATATTTAATAATTTATTTGTCAATGGAAATATGTAATATTTTATAAAGAAATACCCAGACGCCACGGAGAGTAATACTGTAGACTGAAAGAAAAACTTACAACGATTGGACTTATGTGATTACCTATGTATTTTCTTTATTTTTGTGATAATAATGACCACTAACGGGATATTGATTGCCGAGGATATTCCAAAGTTCTACCATTGCAATAAGTGTGTATAGTATCATATGGATGGAAATAAAATTCTTTTTTTCATTACTTTGAACACACGTAATCGTAAGAACATATAAAAAAAACATTCAACTGAAATAGTGCGCTAGGATCACAGGCGTCACTCTCCTCATTTGAAATATATTAATTGTGGAAGAGTGAAAACATTTTTTGGATCCCTCTGTATTTGTACTCGATCCTTGTCAAAAAACTGTGGATTATCAGGTATCGTAACCAAGGTATGCAATCTTAAAACCAATGATCTTGTATGAACCATGTATTGTTTGTGTACTGTGAACACCCGTTTTCCAAGACATGAAAAATAAATCGCACTTCTTAGCCGTGAGAGAAGCGCGCATCACGCAATTTGAAATGCGCGCCACACGCCGGCTACGGAAGGAATAGAAGTTAGCTAGTTCGACGTAACAGAGTTCGCTAGTGTGCGACACAGCTGGTACACGATCCAGCGCAGCTAGAGAAACCGTTCTTTCACCCGGAGGCCAGCGACAGGAAGGTTGGACCATGGTGAAGCTTTATTTTGTGAGCCAATGCCATGTGGCTGTAGGTTTCCTAGGAAGCTGAAACTCTTCACTACAGATATTAAAAAAGGTAACTGAATGTATAATTCACACTTGAAGTATTTTAACTTAACAGGAGAAGTTGTGTAGTGTTTTTTTAAAATTACGTTGCAAGTTGAAAGAAAGGGTGCGTGCAGATATAACCAAATGAGAGTAGGAACTTATACTTGTGGATTCTATTTCTGTGAGTTTTTTATACTGAATAGTCTAGACTACTTCACTTATAAGTACGTACGAGGTAGTGAGTTGCTTTCCTATCTGAATTTCATTCTTTAGAACTCTCGCCAGAGATATTAACGTAATGAAATTTTCAACGAGATTTGAAATAGTTTAACATATCGATTATTATTTCTTTAAATTTAAATATTTCTTTAAAAAGGAAACCAGAGTATGAAATGATTACTGCTGTGGTAAAGGAAAACATTTAATTCAGTTGTGTAAATTGAATTGTAAACAAAGAAAGTGAGGTTAGAGGTAATATTTAATTTTACTGAGTGTGTTACTCATATTCAGCGTTTTGTAGAAATGTAAATGAATGTAACATTTATTGCAAACTTAAGTGTATACCAGCATTTTTGTAGTGTAAAGGATTTACATTATTGTAATGTTGGGCTACATAGTTGTGGGTTTCAGATCATAATTTCTCTAAATATTTTAATGTGATTATGTGCACAAATCGTATCAGATTATAAAATCTTAAGGTCAAGAAAAACCTTAATCAATTTGTTTTCTTTCAATGATATTAAAGCAATACAGTAATTTTTTAATGTTTTACTGTATAGAACTCTGAAACTTGGTGTGAATTTTGCAGTTGTATGTGCAGTAGTAAGACTTTTCAGGAAGAACAATTATGTACAGTGTATGTTATGTAAAGTGCTTTTATGAATTTGAGGTATACATTTGTGAAAGGATTCATTTTGAGTTTGTAATGAGTGCAGAGAGATCACCCTAAATTTGCATATGAAGTGTCACTTGAACATTCCTGATAGTTAATTAATTTAATGGTAGATCTGATCTTCTGCCACCCCCACAGTAGGCCGTAGTATTAATACAGAATGTACATAATACGAATACTATTATATTTTACTAAGTACAAATGTACTGTTTAATTTCAGTTTTTATGTAATTTGTCACAGGATTATCTTACCTTTATTGTACCGATGATATCACGGTCCCAAGAGTGACTGCTAAGAGTTGACGAATTGAGCCTGGTTGGGGCAACTCCAGAAGCTGACATATCGGCGCCGATTTCGCCTTTCAGCGGGGAAGATGACACTCTTCTGCGATAAAAACTCACTACACTTACGGGACTAATGACCTCTGCTGTTGACGTGCCCAGAATCGCCAATAAATCAAACAATCGATGTAATAAATCTTCAAATGATTTCTATCTCACGCAATGTTAATGATAAAACCATTTTTAATAAAATTGTCAAACAACAAAGACTTGCTAATTTACATGTTTCACAGGGTTCTGATCACTTGAATTCCGGTTACCAGGAGTTGTACTGTTTTTGGATGACTAAGCAGTGCTGGGTATTAATCCACACTTGGCGGTAATGTATTATGTTTATTTTTTATGAAACTTTTATTCATGTGGCATGCTAGAGGCAGCCGGGTGGGTGAGGGGTCGGAGGCAGTTCCCCTCCTATCCCCCCCGCCGATATAGCGTTAAGGGTTGATCTACTTTGTGATTATAAGGAACTAATGTGGATACTTTGGTGGTATACCTCACTGAATGGTCGGCGAGATCATGCGCCTAATTGCCATTTACAATTTCGATTGGTGTGGGATTCCACAGGGACTACATCACGTTTATTAAATGTGAGTTCAAGTTCTAGAAAGTGAGCTAACGTACTATTTAAGACTAAACGATTTTTAATTAGGTTTAATTTGAAACATTTTATTTGTCATGCTATCCGGAAGGCACATTTATATTTAAAAATAGTTGACTGTCCTTTATGTGCATTTACATTTACATATTCCTATCCTAGTATTTAGAATATAATTAGGTAAAGTAGAGTACACGGCACACCCTCAGAGAAAAGTGGTGGCAGCGGGGTAAGGGTGTCCTTAAGCCCTCTCTAAAATACGCTAGGCGCCCTGATAGAAATAAATAGAAATTACGGATAGGCGATTTTCATGGCTCGCCCTTTATATGCTTTGTCCCCGCCGCATTGTAACTCCAATTTACTTTCAAAGGCAAGTTTTCTCGCTTCGCTCGCCCGGATCCGCGTCACGGCGAGGCTCGGGCCACGGCCCTCGCGTTCTCTATAAACATCGAATCTTTATTATAAAAGTAATTACCAATTCCCTTTTATAAGAAATCACTTTTCAAGAAAGCCTCCAGAATTCAAACTGCGCAGTTACCACTGGAGCGGCGCGAACCAGTTTAAAAGACTTCCGTAAGTTGTACCGTATACTAGACTTCAGCCTATAATCCTAGTACTTACAAACGATCTTATTAAAGATGTCGGCAAGTCAAGCCTCGTTGGTATTCAACCTTCTCAAGATATCCTTGTTAAAATTATTTCCGTAATTGTATTGTTAGTTCTGAGAATGATCACTACGCGATGGAAAATATCTTCGGCGTAATGTATTTTTGATACCGGACATTTACTTTTTTTAAATTATTCCGGAGGTAACGTAACCTGGGAATTTAAAAGCAAATTTACGAAAGCTAAGAGCGTTTGTGGGTGTGTGTGTCGCAGAGCCCCATGTTGAGCCAGCGCCGGACGCGCTCCATCTCCACGAGCCGCACGCCCTCGCTGCCGGCGTCCTCGCTGCGGCCGTCCTCGCGCGCCCAGCCCGAGGCGGCGCGGCCCTCGTCGGCCAGGCCCTGCGCGGCCGAGGACGCCGGCCTCGACCAGAACGCGCGCCGCAACCTCTACATGAAGTACTCGTACGTGCCGTCGTGGGTGTTCCTGGCCAAGCGCCACGAGAACCTCTTCTCCAAGGTCATCGACTACTTCTTCAAGCACAACGCCTGGCCCGACTTCCACAAGCTGCCCGAGGCGTTCAGGTATTCAGAGAAATGCTCGTTACCAGGGCTCGGATTCTGATGGCATGTCACCTTGTAATGCAACATGCACGTGATAGAAGTGTTGAGTTATTGGGGCACTTTTTGTAATTTTTCAATTTTTAGGTCATTTTTCTGGACCTCATTTTTTTGTCGTTTGTACGCTTTATTTCATGTTTTTTTGTCAGTAAATGCGTTATGAATTTAGTGACACTAAAGCAGTTTTTATTGTATCATTAGTTCATGATCAATTTCACTACTGCGATGAACTCTTTTACCAACTCTCAAAATTAAAAGGATCTTCAGAAACTTCTTTGTTCTTTCAAAACTGACGGTTGGTCGATCCAAACTAACAATTGCATTTCCTCTTAAAATAAGACTTTATATTTAATATAACTTTATATAAATACATTTAATTTAATTTTTATTTTAAATTTATCTTAAAAATAGGTTTTTACCCTTTTTGTTATATGTAATTTTCCTCTTAATTTTTAAATAATTTTATGGGTCATTTAAAAATAATTTTTGGTCAACAGAATCCGAGCCTTGTTCATTACTAGAATTGCATGGGGCCTTTGTTGGGTATTTTCAAATAACATTTTATCGTTAATTTTTAACCCGTCTGTTATCAGTTCATCGTTAACGTCTGTTAACATGTAACCCTACTGCTTTCAAAGTGCACTTGCACATACATGTATGTTAAGAAATTTAACATCCTTAGCAACGTAAATAAACGATCGATGATTCATCGTATCTCAACTGTTTACTAAGAAAAACTTGGAGATGTACAAAACAAGATGCAAACAATTCAGAGTAAAAGGAACTCGTATTAGTTTGGCGGATAATTATTGTTAATAATTATTGCAATATATAATAAATCTTGTAATTCTATCTATCATGTACGGAAGTTAGGTGACCTATGAGTGGTTTCCCGTGGCCTCCCTGAATTTTCGGCCCTGGCATTTTTAGAAGCCTGCCTCCGACGTGGATCTGGGGACCTTATCGAGCAGGCGCGCCTCGCGGGCCCTGCTTCGCCTGGAACTGTGACTCTTGCTTTCTCCGCCAAATGCCGGTCTCGGTTACTATATCCGACCTGTTTGGGCGAATGTTGATTTAATTTTGCTTGGCATTCCACCAGGACTCTTTTTACAAGCCACAAGTGACATGGCTACTGTGGATTCTCTTCCCTTCAAAAACCCGGCACCTCAGCCCGGATCAAACCCGCGCACTGGGGATTCAGCGGCCAATTAGCTAATTTCTCACCCACCGAGGTTCCAATATTACAATTGTAAAAAATGTATATTATGCACATAACGTCATTTTCGTGACATTCCACAAAATGAAACTTCTTCGGTAATTATATTTACTGACGATATGACATTTCTTTAGGCATCTTTAAGTTCAGGATAATTATTTGAATCATCTTTCTCGAACCACGATCAACGAATATTGTTTAAAATTGTATATAAAGCAACAACTCACAAAATGATACCAACATGCACCATGACGCAACTATATAATTTTTTAATGTCTGATAAAATGCTGAACATATCACGAAACGTTATACGAATGTCTTCTCCAAATTAAATCTCGGTTCCGCTACGCTCCAGTTTTGGAATATTTAGCGCAGTAAATGATTTGTTTGCAAGATACTCCGCTCGTCCAATTAAAACCAACGAAACACACAAAATGCCCCATCAGGACGGTGTTCTCAAAACGTTTGTTTGTTCTATCAGTTATCTTATCGTTTCTCCCTACGGGCCAATCATAAACTTTGACTCGTCTATCTTAGGAGGCGTTACACATCGATCGCTATAACTACGTCCAATAAAAAGCGTATGTACTATAACATAACGTCTTTGATTTTAACATAGCTTTGTTATTTTCAATATTGGCACATTTTGGAATTGTTGGACAATTTTGCTCGTGAATTGGGAATTCTCATATAAATCCTTTCGTATTTTCGCAAATCTGGAATTTATTGAAAATTTTGAATGCACTCGTGGATATTACCTAAGAAAAATCGCTATTTCCAGTATAACTGGAATTAAATTGCCAGTGGAGAGGTCATTGTCCTCGCCCCACCTACCCCCTCCCGCCACTTTCAGCAACTGTCCACCAGCAGAGTAAAAAGGGGAAGGGGAGACATTGGCCCTGCTGAGGCCCTGAACATTCTCAGGGTTACAGACTGTTGTAGTTCTACCGTTGTTTTATGTTGTGTACAGTGTAAATACATATTACAATGTGTTTTTATGCGAGTGTCCCGATAATGTTTACTTTATTAAAAATACCATTGCCTTTATTAAAAATGCTAGTTCGTGTTCTTTATAGTTTATCCCTCATTCTCTTGATAACGAGGATTTTATTGAACTCGGTTCAGTCTGGACCATAGTTGATCAGGATTCTACTGTAATACAGAAGTGAGGCTCATTCATTTTCGAGCGGAAAAAGTTACTTGGAAAAGTGTCGATTAATTAATTTAGGTACTTTAAATTTGACTTTATTTTAGATATTGTCAATCCGTTGAAAAAAGTCTTCACGAATCATGTAAATGCCGGAATCTTAGTATTCACAGCGTTTCACTAGTGTACCTAGGTGCTTTGACCCCTCAAAAAAGGTTTTCCTGAATTCTTCTGCAACATCCCTGAGGGGACGACAAAGAATTTTGCCAATCGATTCGTCTTCTCGAAAGAAATAAGTTATTGTTGGCCTAAGTCACACAAAACATGTTTTATTTCTTATAAACTCCAAAATTACATTTTTAATGGAATTGTCTTAGAATTCTATGCTTTTGATTGGTCATCCGACATGTGTGGTAATGTAGTGCATGTACGTACGTAAAGGGAGAGGGTGGGGCAACGAGGGACTGACGGCGCACGGGCGGTGGCCCGTTTGGTATGGTACTGCTACCGCAGTCTGGTGTTGATCGGAGAAACTACGGACAAGTAGCGGTCGGAGTATTCACTATGTCTTCTCCAGACAGCGAGCGGCTGAATTCGTTCTAGCTGTGTAGCGAGTGTCAAAAATCCGCCGCTGTCGCGACTCGAGGACCAAGAGACTCTGCAGTGGTAACTGCTGTTTCCCTGAGAGAGCTGTCATTTCTCCGTTTTCGCTACGGAGTAAAGAGAAAGCTATGTGACGCTGCGCGAATGAACGGCGAATTTTCAGGAGGAAAAATTCTTAATACAGGGTACTGAGGAGGAAAAAGTGGATAGATCCAGTGTTAACATCCTCATCCTCTACCAAGTGGGGTAGACAATGCAAGTTTTGTGGCTCTTTGATTCCGAAAAATCGAAAGGCCGCAAGACGTCTGTCTGTGAACAACGCTAGCGGCTAAGCCATTCAGCCCACTTTCTTCAAATATTCTGATATTTTAGTTTTTTGCTTTACATGAAATCCCTGGGACATTTTCCAAGTTTTCATAAAATGGTTCTATCGTTTTTGATTAAATTTTGTTGTTGGATGGTGTAAAGAAAGTTTAAGAGAAGGATGTAGACCTCATGTTCGTTGGAAACCCTGATTTTCGAAACTTTGAAAAGTTCAACCTCTTCCTACAAGTGAAATATTTAAATTTTTCTTTAATGAAATCTGTTCCTTAAAGATAGATTTTTGGAATAAGGTCATGTAAAATTTTTCAAAAATTTGCGTGAAAATACAGGCGAGAAACTGTGTTGCTTTAGCACTAATAGTTCGGAACTGGGCACATTTGTATCGTGGCAGAGTTTTCACGCGCGCGGTTGGCCACCCTGCCTGCAGGAACGTGTGCGCGCAGTACAGCGTGGAGGCGCACCACATGAAGCGGATGCCGGGCTTCGCCCCCGTGTGGCTGTTCGCGCTGCGGAAGCTGGACCAGCGCTACTTCAGGGCCACCGTGGACCACTTCTTCGAGCACAAGGCGTTCCCCCACTGGAGCTGGCTGCCCCGGGAGTTCGTCCGCCAGTTCGAGGAGCTGGGCGTGCACGAACGCCATTATTTCACGTGACGTCGCGTTTTTGTATGTTATTGAGGTGTCACTTTAAACTTTGTTGAAATCAGATGCGAGTTTTATTTCTGTTAAACACTAAGAGTTAAATTTGCAAACCACTAGCAATGAGTTGAAGTAAACTGATCTGATAGGTATAGTTCCAAATCACAGGATGTCCAGTAATGAATTAAAACGCACAAAAAGATGTTACAGCGTTAAATTTGATAATTGCTCTGTACAAGTTGTAACAGCCGAAAGACGTGATCTCAGTGACCGGTGGGTGAATACGCTGCTTTGGCGGTGGTTCTCGGTATGTTTTCAGAAGTTTACAAAGTATAATGGAAGATCCCAGCACAATATGCTTACAGACAATGATATATTACAGAGGTAGTTTCCAGATAGTTTCAGATCAAACAAATCATTGTACGTTAGGAACTTGAAGCAAATTCCAGGTGATGCGGGCGTCGTCGCCTGAAGGTCGCGAGGAGCAAACTTTCCCTGTCATCTGTTGGAATACAGGACTCTCGTATCTCGCAAACACGGACGTTCCTTTTAGTTGCATTATAATGCCAAAGGATGGAAAAAATCGAAGTTTTTAACGTGTACAGGTTTCTGCTCAAAAATGTCGATGTTTTCAAAAAAAATTATAATATTTATGTACTTCTGTATGCGCACCGCGCGTCCGTGTCGTGCGACTCCCCTGGTACCCACCTCTCACACGGCGCCACGCACGATGATGAGCGAAGAGCGTGGACCGTACTGTTGGCTATAGACACGCACAGCACACACACGTATCTGCCTCCGGTAGCTCACGCGATGTAGCCAGAGGGCTACTAAAATAAAAGCGTACGAGGAAATGAGGGATCGGCCGAAATAAATAGCAAAGCGGATACCTTAAATTTTAATTTAATTAATAGTGCCTCTTGGAATTAATAAATAAAAAAACTTACAATTTAAGAAAAGACATGAAAACACACACAACTCTAATACAACATACAAAATGCGTGCCTTACCCGAGCGGTGAATACTAATAACTAAATTTAAAACTTAGAGTAGTTTACAGATCGTATAATTAATTGATGCAATGGAAATGACAAAAATTCGAGGAGTGATTCTTGATGCTGAAAAATGTTCTGAGCTTGAGCATTTTGGCTCGGCACTTCGGTTGCAGAAACGAGTACCTTGCTAATGAAGCCCTTTAATTCACCTCAATTGTCGCCGGGGCGTGGCACTCGCTGAGCGGAGGTCGCTGAGCACGCACAGTGCGCCTCTGAGTGAACGCTGCAGCCTCCCCGGACACGACAACCAGGCAGTGCGCGCTGTCGTGGTCCAAATCCATGAGACGTAGACGAAGAAATGCCGAGGTGGGCGGCCCTAGCCTCGACCATTGGCGATGCGGGCAGCATGCGGCCCTGAATGTTGTATCATGCCACGTCCGCTCCGCTCCTGACAAAAGTCCCGTGCTCACGTGCCTCGCCTTCACATGTCGAACTAGGAGTCAGCCATCTCAATCTGCCTGGGGCGCGCGGTTGTGCCACGAAATATATAGAAACCCGCCCCTTGAGCGGGGGTGGCTACCACGAGGCTTGGCGGACGGGGGGCTCTCTCGGCCTCCGTGGGAAGGGCTGTCGAAACCTCTAAGCCCACGGGCGGGGCCGCGCGGTGCACTTACGGCCGAGCCGCTGGCTGGCGGGGTTGAATACACTTAGCGAAAAACGCAAATGAGCGGTCGTATACCGCACCTAGTCATATATTGAAATAAGATTTTTAGTTCGTCGGAAAGGGAGTCAATAAAACTTGGGCAGGAAACGCGAAGAAACGTAATTTTCCCCCACGTCACATAGTTTCTACTGTTAATTTACAAAGTGTCAGTCAAATCAACCAATCAAACGTGCTCCTGGGTAGGGCTGTCTCTGAAGGCGGCCGCACACCATTTGGCAGTCGCCGAGCAGTGAGCTCGCTCAAATCCGAGCAGCGAATGTTCTCTTCCATCGATGGATGCGAAAGGCTGGCCCGCGGGGGTAGGGCGAGCACCGAACGGTCGTCGCCCGACAAAGAGCGAGCGACCCATCCACTCTGATCGGGGTTCGGCGATCAGTCGCTTCAACACCAGAAGAGACTGCAGTAAAATAGACGTCCCAAATTCCCATTTAAAATTTCGAAGATCTGCAGAAATTGCAAGAAACCACTCGCATTCTTAAAAAATTGTAAAATAGCAGATTTGAATCAAATTTTGAAGAACAGATCTCCAAGAAAAAAGATCTACCTAAAGTGGTTGTTACTTTCCAAAGTTAATTATTTAATTTTCGAAAATGCACAGAATTCATTGATATTATCTGAAGTGTTTCAGCACATTGAAGTACCTACGAATTACAAAAGGTTTCAAACAATTAAAACTTAAAATGTGGCATCTAACTTTATAAACCTTTTGGTAATATGCGTTCGGTTTGTGCTGTTTACATGATTCAGCTTTAAAGTTCTTTAAATTTTTACCATTCTAGGTTTTCCGCGTTAAATGAAAGAAAACCAGTATTCTGGTAAAGAACGCTCTCTTTTTGTCAGTCAACTCACTGCACACTCCTTCAACTTTGCATTGCTACACTACAGCACAGACAATAGGATTATCTAAAGTCGGTTTGGAATTTTTTTTAAACAGGATCACATTACAGACAACTTTGTTACATAAATACATATACATTTCTATACACTGCATAAAAAACACTGTACAAACAGAATTTTAAAATACATTTTTATTTATTTGTTTTGCGTCTTCTATATTTTGGCAGCCTCATGGAACGGGCATTTAGATCAATCGAAAGGTCTCGTATTTTTTACATCGCGTATTCTTCACGAACACTTCCTAAAAATGTATTTTCCAGAGTTACGGCATCCTCAAAGGGTAAGATCTTACTGTCTTAGCGTTCAAGGCTTGCCAGCGAACACCAGGCCGCCTCCATCTTTGCGAGTAGCTACGGCAAATCGGATGCCTGGCGCTTTTGTCTTCTCATAAAATCTGTGAAGAAATAATGACCATCTTTACATAATAATATTTGGCGACACGCATAAGACGGTTCAATAATGATTTACATCAGATCAGTAGATTAGATACATACGTAATTAAATTTCTTTAGGAAAACTTTCGGGCGAGTTTCAATTTATATCAAATATATCAAACATAACCTTTTGGAAGCTAATAAGATACATTCTTACCCAATTATCACTTTCACATTCATTTATTTATATTCGAATAAAATTGTTTCTCTTGTGGAGTAGGAAGCCCTTACGTAGATACTTACCTCCATATTCTGTCTCCACTTCGCTAGGAGCATGCCTCAAATCATCGGTAATTGAAATTACCTCTGAGGAGTCTCTCTTTAAATCCATTCTTGTGTCCTCGAGTGAAAGTTTCAGCATACAAGATATTAGAAACACATCGGTAACAAATTAGGTCTAATACACATTTAAAACCTGTAAATATAAATCAACCGTTATCAATAAAGTTTCGACAGATACCATAGGAGAGGGTTTGTGAAAACACACATTTAACATTGGTCGATTAAAAACTACTCACCGTTATAATTTTGCCCCCCCCCCCCCGGGCATCTGATGCGCGAAGTCTAGTACCTTCTCAGACCTGAGAGAGAGTGCCACTTTGACCACAAAGTGCAGAAATTAAATTTGTTGGAAAAATTTACTGGGGAGTTTCAATTTGTATCAAATGTTATCAAACATTTCTTTGCAACTTACAAGAGACATTATTACCCTCTTTGATCCCTTTCACGTTTATTTATTTACATTCGAATAAAATAAGAAAGTTCATCATCATAAAAACAGATTTTATGTAGATGCTTACCTCCATACTTTGCCTCCACATCGCTAGGCGCATGCGTCAGATCATCGCTGAGGGCAATTACCTCTGAGCTCATGCGTTTTATTTCAAGCCTGGTGTCCTCAAGTGAAAGTCTGTCAACATACAAGGCATCAGGAATATATTTGTAACAATTTAAATGTCTGAAACACGTTCAAAAACTGTGTTTCTAATTCCACAACTGATTAATAATAAGAAAAACACTCAGTTTTGACCCAAATCACAGAAGGTTAGGGTTTGTCAAAGCTTTTATATATTACATTGTTAAATTTCAAAAAAACTTACCGTGATAATTCTGCCACCGCTGGCAACATATCCGCAAACTCCAGTGCCTTCTCAGCCCCGACTGAGTATGCCACTTTGACTACAAAGTGCAGGAAAGAGAAAGGCGATCTGGAGTTCGCCTTCGTGTCAGAGAGCTTCGGGAGATCGCGGAGACGGAACCCCAAAGCTCCTCGTGCGTAACTCTCCTGAAAATGGAAGTGTGGAACTAATAAGAACAGTAAACGGAGGTGTAGGTCTTATTCCTTAAACGAGGCTACGAACTTATCCCATGCAAAAGCAAGAAACCAAAGACGAGAACGTACGAACACAAAGTATTGCGAAGTTCCAATAATGGTCGATTCTTGATTTAAATCCGCAACAAATTAATTTGGCATAAACATGCGTTGAAAAACGCGGGTCAGAGCGATGCTTGTGCGTGACCAATACGTTCTTTGATAAATACCAAACGAATTTTGCGTTGTAAAAGATTGTCTTCATATAAAACATATTCTTCAATATTGTCTAAGGTTTCTTTTAAAAATAAATATTCATAACGCCCTTAACTTTGACTTTGTTGTATTTTTCCCGCAGTCGTCAGAAAGATTCATTTTGGTTGATGCGGTTGGGTATAAGAACTACGGTAAAAATCGTGAAGAAGATTAATAATTGCTCGCAGTACTGATGGATAATTACATACCTTGAGATGGCGCCTTTCTTATATTGTTACAAAAATCATTCTTCTTGTGCTGTTAGTTGTACATACTAACTTTTCTAATTCCATGTAGAATATTTTAATGGACAGTAAGTTAGGAATAGGTTTTATGCTAATTTCAATTTCGTGTCAAAGTTAAATCTCGCATCTTAACCTTTGCCATCTTGGGCACTCGCAGAGCAGGTGGGTGGCAGACTTCTCCACCCTGCATTTGCAGATGTCAGCCACTGTAGACTGAACAATTGGGCGTTAAATGGGTCATGGCCGCTTATGGCTTAAGAAAGCGCCTTTTGCGGCTGAGTGACGTGTATACTTTCTGAATGAGACTAATGGCAGGTATGCATAGTAATTCCCATCAGTGCTGCCAGTAGTCTATCTTCATTGCCATGCCGCCATCGCGCGTGTTCAATTCTTTGAGGGTGCATGTCCATTGCAGATCATTAGCAACCATGAAAAAAACATTGCATTATTACTTGTAACACGCAGCTGCTAGCTGCATTAACAGTTCACGGCAATTCTCCAGCAAACACTTGCACTACCGAGGTACCCGTAGTTCTGTAATTGTTAGGAGTGCGGCTCTCTGAGCCTTGTCAAGCTCTCCACGAATGAAGGTCAATACCCTCTTACCTACGCCGAAGCGCAGTAAGGGACAATGGAAGTGACAGCCCTCTTATAAATAGTTTCTCGTGCAGACTTATTAACAACGCCCTGACAGCCAGCAATCCTAAGTTTCTTAAAAAGAAACTTGGCTTTACCACT